AAACCCAATACATCAGTGCGTCATCGAGGACTGTGTCTTATTTCCATTGGGAGAACCGTCATCTTTTTCCCCCTAGGATACGGGGCCCACGCCTAGTCGACTAACACCCAGGGTACCTACCTACCCTACTGCTAGGTGAACAGGGGCAGCGGGTGTAAGGCACGGACAGTGAGTGTCCTCCTAATCCCGCCCATGCCGGAGATTAAGACACGGACTACTTACTGATTTAGGCGGAGAGCGTTGCCTAACTGAGCCTCAGGTTAGTAACTCATGATAGTAGCCACGGTTAGTGACCCTGTGCAAAGTAAGTCTGAGGTCACTATGCTGTGAAGTTTCCTATTGTCATGTGGGCTCTTTTAAAATCCACCAGAATTAGTTCTAAGAAGGGGCTGTTGAAGGGAGCGAGACCCTTTCACACCTGACTGGTAACTGTGGCTATGTTTATTATCACTATGAACCGAAGCACATGATAGTTTGCTGTTTTCTCTAAATTTTTGACTTCACGATGAGTATGCTAACATTTAAGACAGCTACTGACATAACATTCCTATTTCCGTGAAAATGAGAGTGACTGTGGCTGCCTTGAGTCTGTAATGTGGCTGATGCATCAGTGTATATTGTGATGACCCCATTGTAAATGTGTTTGTGTGGTGGCGTGGCTACGTGTCATGCATCTATTTTGTAGCTCGTATGTGTTGGTGTGAACATTGCTTTGTGTTGCATAGATTGTGTACGCTCGTGTGCAAATGTCCTGTGCGTGCGCCTCGAGTATGTATTTATGTGCGCGCCAACAAGTGGGATTGTTGACCCCATCTTAATACTGCATTTATAACTCATACAATTGAGACCAGTGTGGACGTACAAGTGGTTCATTACATTGTAATTTGTTCATGACTTGTAACCATTATAAGGATGAAGCTGATTCATTACCTCTGTAACTTGCCATTATTGTGACCAGATCTACCTGGAAGACCCATTACCTTTGTAACAATTTCAGCTATCATAACTTTGGGGTCACAGTCCGCTGACCCATTATGTACCTTTGTAATCTTTTGACTACCACCCACAGGAAAGTGTATGTGGTGCATATTAAAGATATTAAATACTAAACGCATTTGGAAACAAGTCATTTTTTGGGTTATTCCTAAGTTCTCAACATCATATGCTGCTATGTATATTAACTATACATAATATAAGAGTAACTATACATTTACGTAGAATATACAGTTACAGTATCCAGTTACTATACCTGAATAAACTTTACTTAGCTATGGAGACTGTAAATTTGGGAGGCGCCAGCTTTTTCGAGAATTTAGCTGGATTATCAAACCTCGGTGCCTTTAGTAAATTTATTTGGTACCTGGAGTTACCTGGTAGAGAGTTTCCGGGTCAACTCCCCCTCGGCCCGGTCTGTGACCAGGCCTCCTGGAGGATCAGAGCTGATCAACCAGGCTGTTGCTGCTGGCTGCACGCAAACCAACGTATGAGCCACGCCCGCTGGTCATGCACCGACAATGTAAGCTATTTCCATAAGGGTCATTGCAGTATTCTTATTAATCTGAAGCCTTCCTATATTTTTAATGTGAATTTTGGGTTGCTTTTGTTCAAGAAACACAAGATAAACCTCACATCTGAAACTGTATGTGTGGGGGTTTATAATTCTGTTGAAGCTATTTGAACGTGTCCCTCTTAGCTCAGTCGCTAGCGCACGCACCTCTCACACTGAGTCCGGAGATCGAATCCTCTTGTACGGCTTTGTAAATTGTGACTTCATTACCTCTGTAACTTGCTCATCTATCATAAAATTTGGAGTCCAGTCCCTGGACCCATTAGGTACCTCTGTAATCTATTGACTTACCGCCCACTAGATGGGTAGGCTACATAATAAACATATTAAACTAACTGCTGGAAAACATTAGACGTGTTTCTTAATACACCTGCTGTCACTGTTCACCAATCAGTATAAATGGGTACCTGGGTGTTAGTGGACTGGTGTGGGGTCGCATCCTGGGACAAAACTGACACTAATTTGTCCGAAATGTTTCAGCATAACAAGGCTTTCATGCATAGTAGTATGTCATCTAGGTCTGTATATCTTGTACATTACTTGTAGAAATAAAGATAACAATAATATTATTATTATTTATTATGCATGTTGGCCTTGTTGTTGACTAGTTTATGCTGACAGGTTTATACAACATAGTGAGTCTTAAGACTGCATTCGCCTCTTCACCGCCAAACCAAGATTACTGTAATGGCAAATATGGGCTTGTCGGGATAAATTACCCTAGCGAGTGTATATATATATACACACTCCTCCACATGTACTGCTCCTCTCAGTGCACAAAGACGAGCCAATGTATTCATCAGAGTATAAATAAATGTAAACAGATTGACCTGGTTTATCCAACGTTTAATTACTCTTAAATTAGCTATTCAAGACGTCTGTTAAAGAAAATTAAATTATTTAACTGAAGCTAAATAAAAGCTTACACTAATATTAATCCGTTTTGAAGATATAATCGTACAATGCGATATAAATTGGTTTCCCCACTAAAAAAAGTACATTTTTCTAATTCCCCTCTCTGTACTTGACAGAAATGACGCAATCATCAGCAGTGAGGGGAAGCCCAATGTAATTGTGCCTACTTATAAGCACACAAATAATTTTATTTCAACAAAGTGAAATACGGTATATGTAGGACAGTGATGTAAGTATACATCTGCTACTCTATAGAAAGCCCCTTGTTATAGCAAAAAATTAGGCAAGCATTTCGGGAAGGGTTGCTTGTGGTGTATATCTGTACTCATCACTAAACATAATCTTTACTTAAGAATTAAAGTAGCCCTTATGTTTCGTATCCTATAGAGTGGCCTAATGACTTAGCTTAGGCAAGAATCAAAAACTAACGTAACAAGGACCCCAATGGGGAATAAGTCACTTGGGTTATTCCTAGTGAATTACACATGACATTATGTTACTAGGTAGATAATTGTGCTTTTGTGTACCTGTACCAAATAAACTTACTTACTATAATTTAGTAGCGTACAAACAATGAAGTAAAGGCACTTCGACTAGTCTCAGACATTGTAAACATTCGTAACAAAGGTAGAATAAGCTACAATAGTAAGTAAAAGGACACAAGTGCAACTAATATTGAATTTTACTGTGTCAACTGTTTCACTCCTCCAGAAACTTTGTCAAGCTCGTTACAAACAATACAGGGACACAGAGGTATATACCACCACATGAGTTAAAAGAGTAGGCTACTGCTCGATGTTGCCAGGTAGTGATAGTAGTAATAAATAGTAGTTGTAGTTTGTATTAGTAGTAGAAATGAGTTGAGGGTAACTAAGGTTGCTGTACCATGGCAGGGTTTATTGAGTAAGAATTCTTGCAATACATCCGAAATGACGAAACTACTTACCTTTATGTTTGTTGTAATAAAAGGCTGAAATGCGATTACAATGATTCAGAGGCATTTACGGTCTCGCGAAGTAGTATATTGAGAATCACTAAGCGGGCATCACTGAGAATGTCATAGAAGATTGTAGGAGTTTTGTGTGTACACACATGCGATGTTCAATCGGTGTATATTGCTTGCATTGATGTGTTTGAAGGGTATGTGCTGATTCACCGACGTATACGTTGCTACAGCCTCCGCGATGGATTGTATAATCAATTGCATTGACTGGTTCAAGGTTCTTCGCTTTGGTCTGGGTCAGGTTTTTGATGAATGTGCTGGTACGCAATTTATTCAAATAAACTCTGTTGGTATACATACTTGAAGATTCCTTGAAGACAACTTTTGGTTGATGAACGGGGGGGGGGTAACAACCAGCTTTCCAGTTGATGGTGTGACCAACAGTGATGCTGGTGCTAACTGCATGCAGTATAGCGTATGCACCTCAACCAAGCTGATCACTTCCCATCTTTAAGACAGTTACGGGTCTTTTTGTAATCACTTTTGTGTGTGAAGGAAGTTGTCGAAGTAGTGGTCCGCGAGCCTCATGCTCTCATGGAGATAATGTGTAGATAATGACAAATACCTTCAGAATTTTCCAGTTGTAAATTAAGATTTACCGTTCTCGCCTACGTTCCTATAACCTAATCTATGTATATTATTTCGATCTTGGTTTGAGACCTTTATCAGCCAAGATCGAAACATCGTACACATTAACTACCCTGTTGTTGTCTATATGTTGGCTTCCTTCCACCGATAACAAAACATATATGATATATATTATATAAATATATATATATAATATATATATATATATAAATATATATATATATATATTTATATATATATATATATATATAATAATATATATATATATATTATATATATATATTACAACAGTCGGCCGTCTCCCACCGAGCAGGTGACCCAAAAAAGAAAGAAAAGCCCCAAAAAGAAAATACTTTCATCATCATTCAACACAGGTGTTACGTCACCACACTCGTCACACCATTATCACTGTTTTTCCAGAGGTTCTCAGAACAAGACAGTTTAGAAGCATACGCATATGAAGATACACACATAACCCTCCAAACTGCCAATATATATATATATATATATATATATATATCATATATTATAATTGGAAGTGGATATAAATTCTAAAATTATTACAAATGGTGAAAAGAGTAATACTGATAACATTATTGATAAATTACAATATTACAAAGCTGGCGACTTCGTTGTTAAGTCCCTCAATACATGGTCATAACATTAGTTGGGCTACCAGTACATGGTCATAACATTAGTTGGGCTACCAGTACATGGTCATAACATTAGTTGGGCTACCCATTGACAATGGTCATAACATTAGTTGGGCTACCAGTACATGGTCATAACATTAGTTGGGATACCAGTACATGGTCATAACATTAGTTGGGATACCAGTACATGGTCATAACATTAGTTGGGATACCAGTACATGGTCATAACATTAGTTGTGGGATCCAAGTACAAGGTCATAACATTTAGTTTGGATAACCAGTACATGGTCATAAACATAGTTGGGATACCAGTACATGGTCATAACATTAGTTGGGATACCAGTACATGGTCATAACATTAGTTGGGCTACCAGTACATGGTCATCACACTTGTTGGTTCACCAGTACAAGGTCATCACACTAACTGGTGTACCAGTACAAGGTCAACACACTAGTGAGGCCAGACACAGAGGGTGGGGTTGGATGGTGGAATCTTAAGACACTTGCCTAGCTCCTCACAGCCAGGAGGAGCCCAGTGCTGAGGGAGACATCAAACAAATATTAAATAAGAAGAAATTACAATAACTTCGCAAAGAAACAAAAAGAATTAAATAATGATAGAACATAACATGAGTAGAAGGTAATGACAGTTTACGATATATCTTCGTATTTATGTTATGTACATTATCAAAGCTCTAGCTATGTATATTATTTAGTATAACAAGCTCCTGCCTACCTCCAAATAGCACTCACAACAGCACAGCACCTACCGAGCACACAGCACCTACCACACACAGCACCTACCCACACAGCACCTACCACATCACAGCAACCTACCCGCACACAGCACCTACCACCCCACACAGCACCTACCAGCACACACCACTACCAGCATCACACAAGCATTACCTACCAGCACACAGCCCTACCAGCACCAGCACCTACGCAGCATCACAGCACCTACTCAGCACACAGCACCTACCACCACACAGCTCCTACCAGCACAGCAGCACCTACCACAACAGCACCTACCAGCACACAGCACCTACCACACACAGCACCTAACCACACACAGCACCTACCAGCACGAACAGCACCTTACCATCACACAGCACCTACCACCACACAGCACCTACCAACCACCACATCACCTACCACCACAAACACAGTGCACCTACCAGCACACAGCACTCTACCAGCACACATCACTCTACCAGCACACGCACCTACCAGCACACAGCACCTACCACACACAGCACCTACCACCACACAGCACCTACCAGCACACAGCACCTACCACCACACGAGGCACCTACCACCACACACACCTACCATCACACAGCACCTACCATCACACAGCATCCTACCAGCACACAGCACCTACCAGCACACAGCAACCTAACCACACACTGCACCCCTACCACCACACAGCACCTACCAACCCAGCAACAGCACCTACCACCACACAGCACCTACCACCAACACAGCACCTAACCAGCACACGCACCTACAAGCACACAGCACCTAACATCACACAGCACCTACCTCACACAGCACCAACCAGCACACATGCACCTACCAGCCCACAGCACCTACCAGCACCACAGCACCTACCACACACAGCACCTACCACCACACAGCAACTACCAACACACAGCACTACCACCAACAGCACCTACCACCCACACAGCACCACCACCACACAGCAACTACCAGCACACAGGCAACGTACCATCACACAGCACTAACCAGCAACACATCACCTACCAGCACACAGCACCTACCACACACAGAGCACCTACCAACAACACAGCACTCTACCACCACAACAGCACCACCAGCACACGAGCACCTACCAGGCACACAGCACGCTACCAGCACACAGCACCTACCAGCACACAGCACCAACCACCACACAGCACCAACCACATGTACACAGCACCTACCAGCACACAGCAGACCTACAGCACACAGTCCACCTACCATCGCACACAGCACCTACCACCACACAGTCAGCACCTACCACAACACAGCACCTACCTAACACACAGCAACTACCACCACACAGCACCTACTACCACACAGCACCTACCACCACAACAGCACAATACCACCACACTGCAACTACCCAAACACAACAACCTACTACCACACAGCACCTACCACCACACAGCACTAACCACCACACAGCAACAATCACCACACCAGCACTACCTCCACACAGCACTACCAACACACAACACCTACTACCACACACACAGCACCTTACCACCACACCAGAACTACCAACACACAGCACATACCATACACAGCACCTACCACCACACAGCACCTACCATCCACAACAGCACCTACAATCACACAGCACCTACCACCACACAGCACCTACCACTCAACACAGCACCTACCACCACACAGCAACCTACCACAACACAGCACGTACCACCACACATGCACTACCACCACACCGCACCTACCACCACACAGCAACCTACCACCACACAGCACCTACCCACCACACATCACCTACCACAAACACAACACCTACCAGCAGACACAGCACCTACCATCCACACAGCACCTACCACCACACAGCACCTACCACAACACAGCCCCGACCCACCACACAGCACGCTACCACCACACAGCACCTACCACCACACAGCACCATACCACCACACAGCACCTACCACCACACAGCACCTCGCTACCACCACACAGCACCTCAGCACAACACAGCACCTACCACCACAAAACAGCACCTACCACCACAAACAACACTAGCACCTACCAGCACACAGCACCTACCAGCACACAGCACCTACCACCACACAAGCACCTACCACAACACAGCACCTATCCACCGACACAGCACCTACCACCACACAGCACCTACCACCACACAGCACCTACCACCACACAGCACCTACCACAACACAGCACCTACCACCACACAGCACCTACCACCACACAACACTCTCACAGAACTTACCATCACAGCCGGGTCACACCAGATAAGCTGTGGTTCTCCAGGTTCAAGATGAGCTCTGTGATCGCTAAACTACATACCTCAGCAGCTGATGGAGAAGCCAAGACGACTGTTAGTAATCAAGACACGAAAACTTGACAACCGTAAAACTTGACTAGCAAGACTTGATACAGCAAGAATTGACACAGCAAGACTTGACACAGAATACTTTAGAGGTATACATTTCTCTGTGTATAGACACCGAGAGGTATAAACCTTTGTGCATATACATAGAGAGGCACATATTTCTATGTGCTTATACACCAAGAGATATACATTTGTCTGTGTATATATAACGAGAAATATACAACATCTCTGTGTATATACACAGAGAAATATTCCATTTATCGTGTATATTAGGCTGGAAAGGAAGCTTGTCGATGCTACAGGCTAATACAAAAATACAGAAATGAATGTATGAACAATGAAGTATGACGCAGCACAACGAATTACAGTACTTGTATAATGAAGACAATGGGCACAGCATTATCGTGCTACAGTGAAGACAATGCCAAACATACCACAGGCACTTGTATATTGTATTCCGAGGCGTTGAAGGCTATGGGGTATCTCTCTGCCGGGTCCACCAGGATGTTGAAGAGTATGGGGCGGTCACTATGGTCTGTGGCGTGGTCCGTGGTGACATTCTCGACCATCAACTCCAGGGCAGAAGTTGATACCCTAAAGCCCATGTAAAAAAACTTCAAGTTTACTCAAGCTTGCGTTAGCTTAGTTTATTCTAGCATGTTTAGCTTGATTTAGCTAGTCTTATTTTTGCTAGTACAATCTTGCCTTAGCTTATTTTACGTTTATTTTATGCTATCTTTTCTTTGCTTGTCCCCTTATCTTGTCTAGCTTTTCTTTAACCTTGTTTAACTATTCCTAGAGTTAGTTGACTTACTCAAGCTTCCTTGTATATTGTAGATAGACTTAACTTTTCCAATCTAAGCATAACTTCTCTTAGCTTAGTTTAGCTCGCCTTTAAATGTACCGTTGTGAATGTGACCTGCCTGTTGTGTTTTTGTGTGTGTTTTGTATGGTGTGTGTGTGTGTGTTGTGTGTGTGTGTGTGTGTGTGTGTGTGTGTGTGTGTGTGTGTGGTGTGTGTGTGTTGACTGGGACTGACCACTTCGAGTTCAGCTGGCCGGGTGCTGAAGGTCAAGAGATGCATCTTGTAGGATCCTTGACGCACAGCCATCAGTCTGTCACCGCGGTAGTAGAAGACTGGCCTGAACGGTGAGAGAGAGAACCTCTTAAACAAGATTAAAAGTCACAATACCGTGGCTGGAAACATTCACAACTAACATACAAGACCGTGACTAAAACAATTCAAAACTAACCCACAATACAGTGGCTGGAACAATTTACATTTAATCCTAATTTACAGAGGAGACTTTGACCGACGTTGTGCTTTATCCTGGACCATTGCAAGTCACGACGAAGTTGAATTATGAAGACGTCATCTGAAGTACCTCAACAACTGTTGTTCTTATATCAAAGATGTAGCATCAGACAGGTGAAAACAGTGAGAGAACGCGAAGGATGAGGCCCCTCACCTCAACACCTGTTGATCAGGGTACGAGGGACATGGGTGAAATGAGAAACCAACCAGGAAGATTTAGGGTTTTAAAAATACTTGGCAAGGTAAGTGGAACCTGGGTGAAGTGGGAGACCACATGAGTAACGAGAGAGGGATGAGGGACCTGAGTGAAGCGGGGAATCCTTCATTTGCGTCATCCAATATGCTGGACATAAAACTGAAGCGACACTTATCTTCATGTTTATGTAATAGAAAAAGAGTCTTATGCAGTCCTACTTATATAAAAATATAAACAGACTACATATTGTATATGTACAAGACTTCCGTCATTAGTAAATTACTTACGAGATGCACGAGATGATGCTGTTAACGACCAATACTACTCACCTGATGAGAGATAGAACCAGGACTCAGGACTCCAGGCCACCAGAATATACCCGGAGCTCTCATTCCTCCCTCAAAGGTCGTTTGTTTCCCGCAGAGGAAGGGTCCATTACTGCCTCCTGTGAGAGTATACAACATGGGAACACATACATACATAAACACATATATACACATAGAGTGTACACACACACATATATACATGATTTAGGAGGAAAGGTTGGGGAATGTTAGGCCATGAGACCTCTCAAGGGAGGTTCCTTGATGCCGGAGAGGAGCTCTTGATCAAAGGAAGTGGACTTATTCTCCATGACTGTTATAATAAGGCAAGTAATCAGATTTGATTTAAGGCAGAGAAGAGTGATATCTTAATATGCAATATAACCACAGTGGAAAAAGAAATACTATTTCAAGCACTTTCATGATTTTTCACGTTATTATCAAGGAAACTCTCTTTAGCCTCAATAAACTAAACACATTAGGAGAAACTTATTTGTTTCTCAACTTGTATAGTGGCGTGGCTTATTTAATGCAGGGAGTGGCGGAGGCTCGATCCTCCGTCTGTTATTATAAGGCAGACTAACTCTGAGAAGAACGTAGACAAGCATCCTACAGTCTGACCATGTTGTTTGCTGACAAGAGCAGCTCCGTTGTCGGAGGTGAAGACAACCAGAGTATTATTGTCGACACCAGCGTCCCTCACAGCGTCCAGGATGGCCCCCACACCAGCGTCCAGCTCCCTCACAGCGTCTCCGTAGCGACCTAAGGGGACGTCACACACACAGAAAGGTTAGGGAATGAAATAACTCTTAAATATATACTTGTAGCTCCGGCTGGGCTACAAGTATCTCTGGGAAGCTGCCTCACCATCACCAGGCTGCCTCACCATCACCAGGCTGCCTTACCATCACCAGGCTGCCTCACCATCACCAGGCTGCCTCACCATCACCAGGCTGCCTCACCATCACCAGACTGCCTCACCATCACCAGACTGCCTCACCATCACCAGGCTGCCTCACCATCACCAGGCTGCCTCACCATCACCAGACTGCCTCACCATCACCAGGCTGCCTCACCATCACCAGGCTGCCTCACCATCACCAGGCTGCCTCACCATCACCAGGCTGCCTCACCATCACCAGGCTGCCTCACCATCACCAGGCTGCCTCACCATCACCAGGCTGCCTCACCATCACCAGGCTGCCTCACCATCACCAGGCTGCCTCACCATCACCAGGCTGCCTCACCATCACCAGGCTGCCTCACCATCACCAGGCTGCCTCACCATCACCAACTGATGCAGACATACCTAAATAAAAATTTTGCCAGATGAACTACTATCAAACCTTACGTCATTATGTCCTGGAATGTAATAATATTAATGAATTTAAACACAACTCGCTCGAAAATGTTCTAAGAAATGTTTATTACCAAACATTATAGAGAAAAACACCCCCGACTTTGCCAGTTGTAAATAACTCACGACTTATTAAAATAAAGTAATATAAATAATCCAACAGTACATATAAACTTCAGTATTAATTCTGTGACTAAATTCCTGTCTGCATAATAACTTAATACGCTGTAACCAGATATAAACATGTGCAGAGTTCGTTGCAAGAATAACTTTCTTAGTTATCAAAACTCTGGGGATCAGTTGTTGAGCCTCGTAATGTTCTGACTACGACTCTTCACGTAGCTATGAGATGTATAATGAAATTTAAACTAACAACAAAACAAGTAAAGAATAAAATCACAATAACGTGACTGGAACACTACACAAATAACCTGCACATAGGAGAAGCTTACCACGACGTTTCTGTTTATTTACAGTGTGACATTGTAAATGGTCCAAGTCAGACCGAAACATTGTTCTAATCTCGTCTCTCCTATGTGCGGGTTATCTCTGTAACAAAACAAATGCTCAAAGCAACATTCACAACAAAGAAATGTTTAATAACAAATATCTTATATACAGTGTTAGACAAAGAGTGATTATTAAATACAAGAATAAGATAAGATTTTGCTGGGATTTTTACCCCCGGAGGGTCAGCCACTCAGAATAACTCAAGACAGTCAGTGCGTCATCGAGGACTGTCTGTCTTATTTCCTTTGTAGTCCTTAAATCTTGTCCCCCAGGATGCGACCCACACCAGTCAACTAACACCCAGGTACCTACTTGCTTGCTAGGTGAACGGGGACAATAGGTGTAAGGAAACACACCCGGCCGGGGATCGAACCACTGACACTGTGTGTGTAAGTTGACTGTATACACTGTGCCAGTTTCTTAATGAAGTGGAACAGAATAAAAGGTGACACAGTGTCAGCTGAAAAAGATACTAGATTTGACGATCAACTGGATGGTAAGTGTCAGAGGTCCAAGAGCTGTAGCTCCTGTACACAACACACACACACACCTCTCCTGCTAGTGGCGTGGTAGAGGCTGGAAGCATACACAGGCTCGTGTGTGGCATCAGCCGCCCACAAGAGGAAGAAAGGTCCTTCATCTGCCTGACGTTCTATGAAGCTGACAGCTTCCTCGGTGAAGAGGCGAGTCATGTTGGACACTGCCTCACTCTCGTCGATGGCGAAGTCCTCGAAGTATCTGTGGCGAAGAGAAGTGTGGTGAGGAAAGTGTGGCAAAGAGAAGCGCTTTGAGTAGTAAGTAATGTGGCATTCAAAAACTGAAAAATACTTGAGCATATTAGAAGTGTGGCTAATATTTAAGAATAAAGAGAGAGGCAAACACACACACACACACACACACACACACCTTGGGGTGACCATAACACCGAGCACATCACCGGAGGCACACATCAACCAAATAACCGCTGCAGCATACGGGCGCCTGGCAAACCTGAGAATAGCGTTCCGATACCTTAATAAGGAATCGTTCAAGACACTGTACACTGTGTATGTTAGGCCCATACTGGAGTATGCAGCACCAGTCTGGAACCCACACCTGGTCAAGCACGTCAAGAAGTTAGAGAAAGTACAAAGGTTTGCAACAAGGCTAGTCCCAGAGCTCAAGGGAATGTCGTACGAGGAAAGGTTAAGGGAAATCGGACTGACGACACTGGAGGACAGAAGGGTCAGGGGAGACATGATAACGACATACAAGATACTGCGGGAATAGACAAGGTGGACAGAGATAGGATGTTCCAGAGAGGGGACACAGGGACAAGGGGTCACAACTGGAAGCTGAAGACTCAGACGAGTCACAGGGACGTTAGGAAGTATTTCTTCAGTCATAGAGTTGTCAGCAAGTGGAATAGCCTAGCAAGTGAAGTAGTGGAGGCAGGAACCATACATAGTTTTACGAAGAGGTATGACAAAGCTCAGGAAGCAGAGAGAGAGAGGATCCAGTAGCGATCAGTGAAGAGGCGGGGCCAGGAGCTGAGTCTCGACCCCTGCAACCACAATTAGGTGAGTACAATCAGGTGAGTACACACACACACACACACACACACACACACACACACACACACACACACACACACACACACACACACACACACACACACACACACACACACACATGCACACACACACACACACACACACACACACACACACACACACACACACACCACACACACACACACACACACACACACACACACACGCACGCACACACACACACAACACACACACACACAACACACACACACACACACACACACACCATGCACACACACACACACACACACACACACACACACACACACACACACACACACACACACACACACACACACACACACACACACACACACACACACACGCACACACACACACGCAAAGTTACTAGTTATGGGTGATTTCAATCACAAGGAGATTGACTGGGAAAACCTGGAGCCCCATGGGGGTCCCGAAACATGGACAGCCAAGATGATGGATGTGGTACTGGAGAACCTCATGCATCAACATGTTAGAGACACTACCAGAGAGAGAGGAGAGGATGAACCAGCAAGGTTGGACCTTGTATTCACCATGAGTAGTTCGGACATCGAGGGTATCATGTATGAAAGGCCCCTGGGAGCTAGTGATCATGTGGTTCTGTGCTTCGACTACATAGTTGAGCTCCAAGTGGAGAGAGTAGCAGGAATGGGCTGGGAAAAACCAAACTACAAAAGGGGGAACTACTCAGGCATGAGGAACTTCCTTCAAGACATTCAGTGGGAGAGGGAACTGACAGGAAAACCAGTACAAGAAATGATGGACTATGTAGCAACAAAATGCAAGGAGGCAGAGGAGAGGTTTGTTCCCAAGGGAAACAGAAATAATGGGAAGAACAGAACGAGTCCTTGGTTCACCCAAAGGTGTAGGGAGGCAAAAACTAGGTGTACTAGAGAATGGAAAAGGTACAGAAGACAGAGAACTCAGGAAAATAAAGAAATCAGCCGAGAGCCAGAAACGAATATGCACAGATAAGAAGGGAGGCTCAGAGACAATATGAAAATGACATAGCATCAAAAGTAAAGACTGACCCGAAGCTGTTGTACAGCCACATCAGGAGGAAAACAACAGTCAAGGACCAGGTAATCAGACTGAGGAAGGGTGATGGGGAATTCACAAGAAACGACCGAGAGGTATGTCAGGAGCTCAACACAAGATTTAAAGAGGTATTTACAGTGGAAACCAGTAGGACTCCAAGTAATCAGAACAGGGGGGCACACCAGCAAGTGCTGGATGAGGTACATATAACCAAGGAGGAGGTGAAGAAGCTGCTATGCGAACTTGACACCTCAAAGGCGGTGGGACCAGACAAAAATCTCTCCATGGGTCCTTAAAGAGGGAGCAGAGATATTGTGTGAGCCATTAACAAAGATCTTCAACACATCATTTGAAACTGGGCAACTCCCTGAGGTATGGAAAATGGCAAATGTAGTCCCAATTTTTAAAAAGGAGACAGACATGAGGCACTAAACTACAGACCTGTATCACTAACGTGTATAGTATGCAAGGTCATGGAGAAGATCATCAGGAGGAGAGTGGTGGGGCACCTGGAAAGAAACAAGTGTATAATTGACAACCAGCACGGTTTCAGGGAAGGAAAATCCTGTGTCACAAACCTACTAGAGTTTTATGACAAGGTGACAGAAGTAAGACAAGAGAGAGAGGGGTGGATCGACTGCGTATTTTTTGGACTGCAAGAAGGCTTTCGACACAGTTTCCTCACAAGAGGTTACTGCAAAAGCTAGAGGACCAGGCACACATAACAGGAAAGGCACTGCAATGGATCAGAGAATATCTGACAGGGAGGCAACAACGAGTCATGGTACGCGACGAGGTGTCAGAGTGGGCGCCTGTGACAAGCGGGGTTCCACAGGGGTCAGTCCTAGGACCTGTGCTGTTCTTGGTATACGTGAACGACATAACGGAAGGGATAGACTCAGAAGTGTCCTTGTTTGCAGACGATGTGAAGTTAATGAGAAGAATCGAATCGGACGAGGATCAGGCAGGACTACAAAGAGATCTGGACAGGCTACAAGCCTGGTCCAGCAACTGGCTCCTTGAATTTAACCCTGCCAAATGCAAAGTCATGAAGATTGGGGAAGGGCAAAGAAGACCGCAGACACAATATAGTTTAGATGGCCAAAGACTGCAAACCTCACTCAAGGAAAAAGATCTGGGGGTGAGTATAACACCGAGCATATCTCCTGAGGCGCACATCAATCAGATAACTGCTGCAGCATACGGGGCGCCTGGCAAACCTAACGGATAGCGTTCCGATACCTCAGTAAGGATTCGTTTAAGACTCTGTACAACCATTACGTCAGGCCCATACTGGAGTATGCAGCACCAGTTTGGAATCCACACCTAGTCAAGCACGTCAAGAAATTAGAGAAAGTGCAAAGGTTTGCAACAAGACTAGTCCCAGAGCTACGGGGAATGTCCTATGAAGAAAGGTTGAGGGAAATCGGCCTGACGACACTGGAGGCCAGGAGGGTCAGGGGAGACATGATAACGACATATAAAATACTGCGCGGAATAGACGAGGTGGACAAAGACGGGATGTTCCAGAGATGGGACACAGACACAAGAGGTCACAATTGGAAGTTGAAGACTCAGATGAATCAAAGGGATGTTAGGAAGTATTTCTTCAGTCATAGAGTAGTCAGGCCATGGAATAGCCTAGAAAGTGATGTGGTGGAGGCAGGAACCATACATAGTTTTAAGGCGAGGTATGATAGAGCTCATGGGGCAGGGAGAGAGAGGACCTAGTAGCAATCAGCGAAGAGGCGGGGCCAGGAGCTGTGACTCGACCCCTGCAACCACAAATAGGTGAGTACACACACACACACACACACACACACACACACACACACACACACAACACACACACACTGGACACACACACACACACACACACACACACACACACAGACACACAACACACACACACACACACACACACACACACACACACACACGCACACACACACTACACACACACAAAACACACACACACACAACACACACACACACACATGCACACACACACACACACACAGGCGGGGCCAGGAGCTCGGACTCGACCCCCGCAACCTCAACTAGGTGAGTACAACTAGGTGAGTACACACACACACACACACACACACACACACACACACACACACACACACACACAACAACAGACTAGTCCCAGAGCTAAGGAGATTGTCCTATGAAGAAAGTTTAAGGGAAATCGGCCTGACGACACTGGAGGACAGGAGGGTCAGGGGAGACATGATAACGACATATAAAATACTGCGCGGAATAACCAAGGTGGACAAAGACAGGATGTTCCAGGGATGGGACACAGAAACCAGAGGTCACAATTGGAAGTTGAAGACTCAGATGAGTCAAAGGGATGTTAGGAAGTATTTCTTCAGTCATAGAGTTGTCAGGCAGTGGAACAGCCTAGAAGGTGACGTAGTGGAGGCGGGAACCATACATAGTTTTAAGACGAGGTTTGATAAAGCTCATGGAGCAGGGAGAGAGAGGACCTAGTAGCAGTCAGTGAAGAGGCGGGGCCAGGAGCTATGAATCGACCCCTGCAACCACAAATAGGTGAGTACACACACACACACACACACACACACACACACACACACACACATTCGAGTAACAGGGATGTTAGGAAGTATTTCTTCAGTCAAAGAGTTGTCAGGACGTGGAACAATCTGAAGAATAATTTAGTGGAGGCAGGATCCAAGCATAGCTTTAAAAAGAGGTACGATAAAACTCATGGAGCACGGAGAGAGTGGACCTAGTAATGACCAGCGAAGAGGCGGGGGCAGTAGCTGTGAATCGACCCCTGCAACCACAAATAGGTAAAGACACTCTCTCTCTCTCTCTCTCACACACACACACATAGTGATCAACCTTCCGATCATCGACGCGTTACGGAAGACTGGAATGTTTGGCGTGGTGACGTCATCATAGGGTCCTAAGTGGCAGTTAGGTGAACCGAACCAGTAGTCGAACCCTCGTTCCAGGGGCAGGTAAGGTGAGCGGTGCCCCAGGTGCCTGAGGGAGGGGCAAGGGTTGTGGTGCAGGGGGAAGGAGGGAGGGGGAGGAAAAATATACATTAGATGTATACTTAAAACAAAAACCACACTATACGCATGACACATATACATAATCTCAACAAATATTCATACTATGGTCGTACCATAGTATGAATAGCAGGAAAAATATACAAATTTCACTCTTTAATTAGTGTCTCAGAGAGTCAGTCTGCAAGAGCAAATACAAAGGACAGATGAAACAATAATTAAAAAAATTAGCAAATATATTTTCTATTTTAAGTGTGACATAAACATTGCAGGAAGGAGAAGGTTACGACCCTTGTACACTCTTCACCAGAAATTAATATATTTTGTGGAATTCAGAAAAAACTTGAAAATTAAAAAAAAATGGATCAGATGAAAGAACTTTGAGCATGAAAGGAAAATGTATTATTATGGGTCAGTGTCACTCATAGGGTGCCACAACTATTAGTGTTATTATGGGTTAGTGCCACTCATAGGGTGCCACAAAACCATTATGTTTATTAAGGGTCAGTGCCACTCATATGGTGCCACAACCATTAGTGTTATTAAGGGTCAGTGCCACTCATATGGTGCCACAACCATTAGTGTTATTAAGGGTCAGTGCCACTCATATGGTGCCACAAGCTCCAGTATTTTTCCTAATTTCTATGATTTTTGCAGAGTCACTAAAGGACTATATACACACACAAAAAAAATAATTTTTAAAAGGGTGGACAGGTAAGCCAGCGAAAGGTCTCGGTCAGATAACCGAAAGCTCCAGCTGCGGGTCATCATATGACTAAGACCCGCGTCAGGAAACACTTGTCTTGTTTCCTGACCAATCTTTCGTAACCTAACCTCCCTAAACATAGTTACTGATTAAAGAAAAAGTGTTGTTCAAGCCGGACTGGCCGGATTCTCACCACTTTCCGATAAGTCCAGAAGTGTATCCTCGGGACTTGAGAAGCTCAGGCAGCAACACCTCGCTCTGGGAGATTCCTCCCACGATTTCCTGTGGCGTGTAAGCTGCCGAGGAAAGTCAAGCTTACTGGGGGGAAACATTCAAGCTTACTAAGTAGACATTCAAAACTACTGGGAAATCAGTTAAGCTTACTGAGGAAGCAGTCAAGCTCACTGGGAAAGACAGTCAAAATTACTGGAGGACGCAGCAGTAGTAGTGGTAATAGTGGTTGTGATTCTTACAGAACACTTCGACCATTTAGGCCACTCAGTGTTCTCGGATCCTCTCGTCACCCAGAGATTGCGGGAGAGAACCTTAAGAATATTTAACTCCGCAGGACATTCACTTAGAGCTTTCTAATATGAGAGGATCACATCAGGCGACACTAGATCATTCCCGTGAAAATAACCTACTGCTGCTAGGAAAGAAGCACGCTATGGAGTAGCAGACAGTGAGTAGGCTGTGGAACCCGTGACCAGGTAAGGGAAAGCAGTAAGGCTAACTGGAAGACAGTCAAAATATTGGGGAATATAAGCTAACTGGGAGCACGGATAAGTATCCCGGGCGAGAGGGGAGGGGAACAGAGTCACGAGTGTAACATATGAGGGAAGGAACCTTCCCTCACAGTATGTGAGGGAAGGAGTACTCCCTCACAGGAATAGCTTCAGCCATGTAAAATTTATGGTATTTTTGCTGCAAAGGGGACAGATAATTAACATGTTTTGGTGTACTGAGATACACTCACCATTCCTGCAGTTCAGTATGGAAATACACTCACCATTCCTGCCATGGGTGTTGTTAGTGTAAAAACCATTCCTGATGGGCAGTCGGCCGGTGAGAAGAGCAGCTCTGGCTGTGGGAACACATCAAGATCATCTTTAGTTACCCAGTCATCTGAGCCATTTTCAGACATATTATTGTACACATAAGTAAGTCATGCTCAGATATGAGCAATGTTACATATTTAAGATAGTACATATGCTGAAACACACAAGTGATATTAGATACCTATCAATGGCCCGAACGAACCCACATATCGGAAATAAATGACCCACATCAATAAAAGGGTTCAAAGTAAGGCCAAAGAATGTTTTAGTCATTATTTTCTTATTCCTTGCATTTGTATTCCTCTTGTTGAATAAAGACACACATTAGTAGCATTTTATGATGACTTAATAAATCTAGGTTATTTCTGTCGCTACTGGGAGCATAGGAAGGTTTAATATTAATGTTACTTACACGGTGAGCAGAGAGGAGCAGCGGTGTACATGGAGGTCACAGTGAGACCATCTCGGGCCATCTTGTCTACATTTGGGGTCTCCCTGCTGGGCTCCCCGTTCGTGCCTAGGTCTCCCCAGCCCATCTGTGGGAAGGAAGACCCACAGGGTTACCTCAGAGACCATTATAACTAGCATTTAGATCACTAGAGATAACCTCAAGACCAATACAGATAATTTAGACCGTCAGAGATACACGGAACAGAAAGGATTTTTTTTTTCCGGTATTGAGGCGTTGTTGGCCGATAGGCAACAGAGAGTTTGTTTAAATGGGGAGAAATCAGAGTGGACTCCTAGGGAAAGGTCCCAAGGACCACAGTAGAAAAAAGCTACACTGTTCGGTGGCATTTTGGGGGAGGTCCCAGGGACCGCAGCACAAACAAGTCACACTGATTGGTTTTCTTGGGTTATCCTGGGTTCGTAACCCGCCTGGGTTACCCTAAATTAAATCCATATAATGTACTTTTTACTTGCCAATATAAAATTGCGTATCCTTAAGGACCTTTGGCAACAATTTTGTATTTTATATAGTCAAAACCTAAAAAAAGCTAACTTAAATATTTGCATTAATATTGTATTAAATGGGAAGCGCTTAGCCCTTAGGGGGTATATACAGCTGTGAGAACTAAGAGGCAATCAATTACTGCCCAAGGAATGGGAGGATAACTCCAATTCCTTGAATTAAGAGCCCTTTAGCGGCCTCAATGAACCCACAACCACCTCCTCCTCCTGACGGGAGTAAGACTCACAATAGGTGAGTTACCCACTGAAGAACCTGCAAAGTTTTCTGTAATATATCTTCGTTATTACACTCCTTACAGGGCCTACTACACCGTGTGGTGTATTATCTATCACCGTATAATACACACTCTGTAATATCTATCGTAGGTATTAAAGCATTCTTGACTGGTGGTGAACAGGTTACTTGCAGGCTTAATAACCTTCTCGTAGTAGAAAGGCTTTAAACCCAATTAACCAACATCATTACAGTTTACAAACATGGCCAGCATGGGCAGTGATGACAAACCTGACATATACTTACATCGTCCATAAGCATTATGATTACATTTGGAGGTTGAGAGGTTCCTGAGGTGAACGGCAGGAGCAGCAACATGGGCAGGACTGCCATGACCATCAACACAACACCACCTTCCATTGCAGAGACTCTCATGGCAGCTACTGTTTCAGTGCTTGTCCAGCCAGACTCTCATTCCCTACTAAGCCAGACTCTCACTCCCTACTAAGCCAGACTCTCACTCCCTACGAAGCCAGACTCTCACTCCCTACTAAGCCAGACTCTCACTCCCTACTAAGCCAGGCTCTCACTCTTCTCTGCTCGGTCAGGCTCTCACTCCTCCCTCTAAACCAAACTCTCCCATCACGCTACTGATAAAACCTTTATCATGTTATCTTTGAGGCGGCACACGACCAGAAGCCTCCGATATTATCAAGGGATTTTCAGCCTAAATATTGCCGCTGTTTAAAAAAATACAGATTGACAGCTAATGCTAGACTGCTATCATAACCAGTAACGCCCACCATCAAGCTGACCGCAGCACTGTTCTCCACATTCCACCAACAATCATAGGGTAACGGGATTCGATTCCCGGGTATCCGAGCAGCTTCACTTACACCTGCGTTCACTCAGCAATGTATACCTGGGTGTTAGTCGACAGGTGTGAGCGGCGTCCATGGTTAATCTTGCAATGAAAATGTGTAAGATAGATTTTAGATTTTGCCACCGAAGTGGCTAGTCTATTGTACACCCAATAACCATCCTGTGGAGGGTAGCGCAAGAGCATATGGATACACAAAATGCCTAGGAACTAGGTCCCAAAAGGGTTAACAGGTGTACATGTGGGTTTTTATTTATCTACATATCTGCAGTTCACTTATCTGTTACAAACAAATTTAGGAAATTTGCTTAGTATATCTGGTATCTTATTTTCGTTACTAAGATATCTTGACATGTCACATAGGTTATTATACTGTCTGTCTCTGTATTCCTCAATAAGTGGACAATTAAGCACATAGTGTTCAAGACAGTGACCATATGCCTACCTGGAGTTTACCTGGAGAGGGTTTCGGGGGCCAACGCCCCCGCTGCCCGATCTGAGACCAGGCCTCGTGATGGATCAGGGTCTGATCAACCAGGCTGTTACTGCTGGCCGCACGCAAGCTGACATACGAATCACAGTCCGGTTGGTCAGGTACTGATTTTAGGTGCCTGTCCAGTGCCTTCTTGAAGACAGCCAGGGGTCTATTGGTAATCCCCTTTATGTATGCTGGGAGGCAATTGAACAGTCTTGGGCCCCGGACACTTATTGTGTTGTCTCTCAGTGCACTCGTGGCGCCCCTGCTTTTCATCGGGGGAATGTTGTATCTCCTGCCCAGTCTTTTGCTTTCATATGGAGTGATTTTCGTGTGCAGGTTTGGTGCCAATCCCTCCAGGACCTTCCAAGTGTATATTATCATGTATCTCTCTCGCCTGCGTTCCAGGGAATACAGATCAAGGACCTTCAACCGTTCCCAGTAGTTTAGGTGCCTTATCGTACTTATGTGTGCCATGAAAGTTCTTTGTACACTCTCCAGGTCTGCAATGTCGCCAGCCTTGACGGGGGCCGTTAGTGTACATGTCCCGTTGGGTTCGGTAACGTGGATTGGGTAAAGGATACTCACATAGGCAATAATGGAGTATAATTAAAACGGAATATATGGGAAGTGCCCAACCTGACCTGCCGTCTGCCCTAACGTCTTTACTTAAACTGGGTTGCTGAATGCCTCGGGGGGCGAGCGGCACTCAAATCATGCTAGGGTAGCGGTAACAGTGAAAAACAAGTGATTCACACAGACATTTGGTAGTGAGTCACTACTGATACTGGTAACTGGTTACTGGTATGGTACTAGTGAGATACAACAGTATTCCAACCTAGAGAACACAAGCGATTTGAAGAGAATCATCATGGGCTTGGCATCCCTTGTTTTGAAGGTTATCATTATCCATCCTATCATTTTCTTAGCAGATGAGGTAAATACATTGTTTTGATCTTTGAAGGCGAGATCCTTTGACATTATCACTCCCAGGTCCTTCACATTACTTTTCCACTCTATTGTATAGTTAGAATTTGTGGTATACCCTGACACATTTTTAATTTCTTCAAGTTTTCCATATCTGAGTAGCTGAAATTTCTCCTCGTTGAACTTCATATTATTTAGAGTGGCCCATTCGAAGATTTGGTTGATGTCCGCTTGGAGTCTCGCACTGTCTTCGATGGAGGTCACTGCCATGGTGCTTTTTACCATGGCTTTTAGTTCTTCCTGTGATTCTTGTCTCCTATAAGATTCCTTCAGCTTAAGTTCGACATTTGCAATTTCATTGACTAGTGCCTCCCTTCGTATTTCAGATATATTGACCCCACTCAGCAGCTCTGTGACCCTTCGCCTTCGTCTGTATAGGGAGCATCTCTCTCTTTCTAGTTTACATCTTCTCTTTCTTTTACTTAATGGAATGTGTCTTGAGCAGATCTCAAGAACCACAGAATTCATTTTTTAAGGCAAGTGTTCGGATCCGTGTTGTTTAGGATATCTTCCAAGCTTGTTTCATTTAGGACATAGTTTACTTGATCCCATTGTATGTTTTTGTTATTGAAATTGAATTTCGTGAAGAGTCCTTCATGACTATTCACATTTTGCTGGTCCGGAGCCCTGTGCATACATGTCCGTGCCTCTATTATGTTGTGATCTGAGTGAATTGTCTTTTATACAGTTATATTACGTATCAGATCGTCATTTTTGGTGAAGATGAGGTCCAGCGTATTTTCTAGTCTTGTAGGCTCTACTATTTGCTGGTTTAAGGTGAATTTGTTGCAGAGATTTAATAGTTCGTGTGTGTGTGAATTTTCATCTGAGCTGCCTCCCAAACTGCCAGAAGTACTTGTAACCAAGCCTAAGTCTGGCCACTACAACATCAGTCTGTTTACATTGCAAGTTGCTCCGTAAACATACTTATCTACGTTCATGTTATCATAGTGGATTATTGATCTACTCAGGCTTCTAACTGCATTCCTATAACAATCATTTAATGAATTATTTGCAAGGGAAATGAAAATGTGTAAGAGACTCCAGTTCCCCTGCAAATAATATCCTCCTTATGGAGGTTATTATGGAGGTTATTATGGAGGTTATTATGGAGGTTATTATGGAGGTTATTATGGAGGTTATTATGGAGGTTATTATGGAGGTTATTATGGAGGTTATTATGGAGGTTATTATGGAGGTTATTATGGAGGTTATTATGGAGGTTATTATGGAGGTTATTATGGAGGTTATTAGTTACAGCCAATAAATAATTAAATAAAAGTTATACTAACTACTTAACAAAATTAAAGAGGCTGGGTCACAGATCGGCTGCGGGGGCTATGACCCCCGAAACTCTCTCCAGGTATACTCCAGGTATACTCCAGGTATACTCCAGATATACTCCTGGTATACTCCAGATATGCTCCAGGTATACTCCAGGTATACTCCAGGTATACTCCAGGTATACTCCAGATATACTCCAGATATACTCCAGGTATACTCCAGGTATACTCCAGGTATACTCCAGGTAGTAGGCATCGTCATGAATTAAAATCAAATATATTTTATTATCATAATTAAAGTTAATAATAATACGTACTAATAAGAATACCAATAAAGAGAAAAAACAAATAGATTTAGACGAAGAAGAATAAGCACTGACTGGTGTTCATCTTTTAAGAATATATATACACTGAGAGGTGTGTATTCCTCAGTGTATACCAGTATATACACTGCGAGTATACATTTGTCTTGGTTATCTTGATATTAGCATACTGATAAATTGTGGTTTTTAAGGACCCTCGTACAGTTCATAGGCTTTAAGGACCCTCGTACAGTTCATAGGCTTTAAGGACCCTCGTACAGTTCATAGGTTTTAAGGACCCTCGTACAGTTCATAGGTTTTAAGGACCCTCGTACAGTTCATAGGTTTTAAGGACCCTAGTACAGTTCATAGGTTTTAAGGACTCTCGTACAGTTCATAGGTATTAAGGACCCTCGTACAGTTCATAGGTTTTAAGGACCCTCGTACAGTTCATAGGTTTTAAGGACCCTCGTACAGTTCATAGGTTTTAAGGACTCTCGTACAGGTCATAGGCTTTAATGACCCACTTACAGTCGAAAAGCTAAGGCTTTTAATGGCCTTTCTGACAGTTCATAGGTTTTTCAGTATAAAGTTGTTGTTTATTGGCCAAAGTCTAATAATTAGCAATTTGGAGAAGAAAATTTGGACCACATTTCGGTCCATTTTCGATCATTATTAAGTCGGGGCTGTTGTGATTTGGGCATTGATAATGGGTTAGAGACGAAGCGAACCCAGAGTATGAATTGTTCCAGCTAGGATATTGTTACTATTGTTTCTTATTGGCAAGAATTAGTGGGATTCTATGAGCCCCCTCCTGCAAATACAGAGGCTCCAGGTACAAAGCTCCAGGTACAGAGGTTCCAGATACAGAGGTTCCAGGTACAGAGGTTCCAGGTACAGAGGTTCCAGGTACAGAGGTTCCAGGTACAGAGGCTGTAAGAAGCGTTGGGCAATAGAACAGAGTTGAGAGTGTGCAGAACATATGCTGGATTCCTCTTGAAGGTGATCTACCAGTGGATGGGCTGGTTTGTGGGCTTTGTACGACCTCCAGCTTAGCTAGAGTGAGGATACAAGCTCTTTAAGGGACCAAGATGGTGTGAGTCGACAATGGAGGGAGGGTAATGATGGTAGAATGACTTAGAAAAATGAGCCTAGGCAGAATAATAGCTCTTAGCTTTGGTGGAAGAAGTAACAGTAGAACTACACCCGCATATAAAAGTGAGCTAGTTAACTGTTTGGGTTACACACACACACACACACACACACACACACACACACACACACACACACACACACACACACACACACACACACACACACACACACACACACACACACACACACACACACACACAACACACACACACACACACAGGTACAGCTGAGAATTTAACACTAGAAATAGTTTTTGCTAAACTGTGTGATGTTATCTAACTGTGTGATGTCATCTAACTGTGTGATGTCATCTAACTGTGTGATGTCATCTAACTGTGTGATGTCATCTAACTGTGTGATGTCAGAAAAATTTATAGTTAAAACTATTCTAAAACAAATTGAGAAAGAAAACTGACCAGGAGGTTTGACATGACCTGTCAGGTCAGCTAAAACCTCCTGTTTTGACATCTTAAGCCCATCTAACACCTGATTCCACACTTTTCATTAGTTCTTCAGCACGTTAAGTTAATTTAGGCTAAGTTGTGTTAAATTAGG